CAGTATCCTGGGGAAGCTGAGGAAAGCCAGGGTCAAGCACCCCACTTGGTCTGCTCGGCTCCGAGTTCACCTACGTAAACCTTCTCCTCCTCCCACCCTTGTACTCTATTTGGCCTCATTTGGGGAGGCTTGTCCCAAATGTCCAGCCCCAATGCCACCCAGCCAGCCCTATAATGGCCATGAACCCCGGTAGCTCATGGTGGTCCCATTTGTTGAACACCTGGGACATGCCTGGCACTTTGCTGAGGGCTTTTCATGAATTCTCTCTCATCCTCATGATAATCTCACGTGGCAGATGGATTCTGCTCCCCTTCTACTGCGGAGAAAACTGACCCAGAGTTCAAGGGCTTTGCCCAAGGTTCTAGACTAGTAAGAGGTGGTATGAGGACTCAGACCCAGGTCTGTCTGACTTTCAGACAAAGGATTAGAAGCCACCTGGCCCAGCCCTTATTCCTCTGCTGGCTCAAAGGGCACTCTGGCAGNAGCATCTCGCCTGTCCTGTTCTATTCACGCGTTCAGATCTAACTCGCTCTCCACTGGTGTGCGGGAGTCCCCTCCTAGAGATTCCAATGGAGTAGGGCAGGGACCTGGAATCCATGATTATTCAAAGCCCTGGGTGGGGAGGAGGATCCTTCCAACCCAGGGCCAGGTGTGGAAACCACTACCCTGGACTATTTGCAGGGCTCTNCTTTAGAGCTCTCTGGCAGGGACCTTCTCTGCTGCCACCTCGTGGGCACTTGGGCGCTGGTTCAGCACAACCTCCTCTCACTACAGCCAGGCCCCCAAAAGCTGGAGCTAAATACCCACCTCCAAACACATGTCAGGTCAACTCCTACCTTTCCCATATGTTTCTGGAAAATTCCTCCCAAAAGGAATTGAGGGGCAGGTGAGGGAGGTGGCTCTAAGTGGCTGTGTGGGAGTCCAGCCAGGTGGCCATTATTAAAGAGCCCACCTGCCAGACAAAGGGTAGGTTCACCAGGTGTGGACTGCACTTGGCCTCAGGCATTTCAAAGCCCTAGACCCCAGCAGCCTTCTCCGGGTCTCCAGCCTTGCCTACTTTCCGGAAAACCTCAACAAGCCTTTAGTGAGCACCTACTGTGTGCCAGGCCCTGTGCTGGTCAGGCTGTTCTTACCAGACCTACAAAATCCCTGTTGTCCCAAACAGGATGGGACCCGTCATTCCCTCTGAGGAGCCCCCTCAGTACAGAGTGGGTGTGGCTGTTTCAACTCTGACTTGGAGCAGGCACAAGGTTAGAGCCCTGGAGCTTTCCAGTGCCCCATGGTAGTGTTTGAGACCCGGGGAAAAAAAATGTAATGACTAAAATATTCAAAAAGAGAAGAGCAAAATCAAAATTAAAATTTGTTATATTAAACATCTACCAAATGAAATATGGCAGCTTTAATAATTATGAAATTTAGTATCTGTAAAAATTTTGTTACATTCAAGGACAAATTGTAGACTAGACTTTCTAGAATTCTTGGGAGTTTTCCAGAATTTTCTGAAATTCCCAGTTATGTGTGATGATGGCCAGGAAATCAGAAATTGTGAAGCTCACACATTAATCAAATTTATCATAGCAAAATAATTTCAAAAGGAATAGTCATAAAAATTCTTTCAAATTTTATAGCCATAAAATGTATGTGTGCATATAAATGCATATACATATATACGTGGGTCCCTTTTAATACCTTTGAGAGGGCCCCCTGGGGCCTTGGCTCCCAGTGAAGGTCGAGACTGTGGCCTAAGTGTGAGGAGAGGTGTCTGCGGGAGGGAACAGCTGACCCAGAAGGTCAGGTGACATCCGGAGGTGACATTTGAACAGGGGCTGGTCCACCTCCTGACTCATCTCCCGCCACCCTTCCTATATCCACCACGTGTGCGTGAACTCGTACACAGGGCTTTGTTGGTTTCCTGTACCCACTAAACTCTTTCTCACCTCAGAGTCTCTGCACAAGCTCTTCCCTCCCCCAGAATGCTCTCCTTCCTCTACTCCCCCACCCCTGCTCTTTCCATGGCTGGCTCATTCTCCTTGATTTGTCGCCTCTTTTAGAGAGCCCCTCTCTGACTGCAACCTAAAGCAGCTCTGCCCCCTCTCCCTACTATTTCCTTCAGAGCTGGTCCCATGATCTGTGCTTAGTTGTTCATTAGGTTGCTGGCTTATTAAGAGGCAGTACAATTTAGTGAGTAGGCAGGCAGCCTCTGGTACCAAAACGCCTCGGTTCTAATTCCAGCGACGCCACTTGCCAGCTGTGTGACCTTGGGCAACTTACTTAACCTCTCTGTGTTTAGATCTTCTAGAAAATGAACTGGTAAGGGCCGGCCCGTGGCTCACTCGGGAGAGTGCGGTGCTGATAGCACCAAGGCCCCGGGTT